GTGCTCCCCCTTAATAGTTTTAGTTTGTAATCAGGGATGAATCTAGGCATGGCTTATAGAGATAGTCACCTCCCTTAAAAATTTAAAATTATTATAAATTATTATTATTTTTTATTTATTGAAATTTTGTTTTCACCCTTAATTGTATAAATTTATGTTCGTAAAATTTTTAAAGTTTAAATTTACTCCCCTAATATAAGATCATGTGTCATTCTCTATTTATAACAAAAAATATTATAGAAAATGAGTAAAACCAAAAAAAAATTAAAAAATTAATATTTCAAATTGCATCCAATTAAAAATATTATAATATTTTTAATTACTTTTTTTTTATCGTTTTTATCTTAAGTTAGACGACTACCGTCCTATAGACGTACCCTTATCCAACGTATTCACTCTTTAGTCTTTCTTCTTGGGGACTCCCTAACCATCCCACGTGTCCTATCCATAAATATAGTGGTGGTCACCTTGACCCTTTTGCTCTTGTTATGTTATGTTTGACGATCGGATCAAATACCATTATTGTTACGATCAGTAAGATATAAATCATCTTCCCTGTTTTATATCTTCCAATTCATTTATATACGTATTTTGTTTTTATAGATATTTTTTTTATGTCGCTTGAATTTATTATATAAATTTTTTGTGATTTTTCAATATTTTTATCATTTTTATAATATATTTACTTATACAATCAGATTTATTAGTATTATTATTTTGTTCGAACAATAGTTAAATTTTCTAACCTTTTTCCTTTTAGTTCGAGCAATGCCTTTTCGGATTAATTTTTTTTAAGTGTAGATAATGAAGATACACTTGATTTTTGAGCTTCGTGCATTCGTCCCCGAGGGTTATTACTATAATATTTGCCTATTATCTTATTTTTATGTGAATCAACTGTTATAAATAGAGAGCAATTATGGTCCGTTTTACAGTAAATATTTTTGGAAAAATATTTTTCTGTAAAATAAATTATAGCTTTTGAAAAATATTTTTTAGAAAATATTTTACATTGTTTAGAAGAATTTGTATAAATTATTTTTCACTAGTTGATAAATCTTTTAGAAATTATTAAAATAAAAATATAATATCTTATATTATTATAATATAATTGAGTATATTATTATAATTTTAAAAATATAATATTTTATTAGTAAAAACATTAATAAATACATTTTAAATATTTTAATAAATAATGTTTATATCATAATGATATTAAAATATTTTATTAATATTAAATATATAAAATAAAATTATTTTAAGTATTTGTTTTCTAAATTAAAAAATTTTAAAAATGAATTACGAAAAATCATTCTTTTTCTTACATTAACCAATTAATTTTCCTTCAATTAAACATTAAAAAAATATTTTTCAAAAATATTTTACACGACCCTATATTCATCACTGTGTCGTATAAGATAGGCGTAACCCGAAGTTACACAAACGAACACAGAAAAATAATCAAAGTTGAACTCACCCAAAATCTCAAACCCCAAAGCCAAAGCCTCTCTCATCAGCTATTACTGCCAACTCGTGTTCGACTCACGGGACTCACAATAAAACCAGTGGCTTTTGATCCGAAAAGGAACAGAAAAAGGGCAAAAGAAATAAATGGAGACAAGCACATCAGCAGCAGGAACCCTTCCAAAGAAGAAAAGCGAAGAGATTCTAGACGGTTCGGATATAATGAAGTTGGTTGAGAATAAGGAGGTGTTTACCAGTTTCGTTGATCATAAGTTCAATGAGCTCGATAAGGACAGCGATGGTCAGCTCTCTGTGAACGAGTTACGGCCTGCGGTTGCTGATATCGGTGTTGCTCTTGGCTTGCCTGCTCAGGGTTCTTCTCCTCATTCCGACCATATCTATTCCGAGGTTTCTCGTATATTTTAGATGTTTTCTTTGTATTTTATATCGATAATATGTCTTCGTTCTTTTAAATTTTATACGTGCCGGTCAAGACCGAGGTTCATTGGGGGCAGGAGCTGAGTTTTGGACATGTTTTCCTGCAGCTTTTGAATGAGTTCACTCGAGGAAAGCGAGAAAGTGTGAGCAAGTCGGTGTTCAAAGAGGTTCTTTCGGATATTTTACTAGGCATGGCCGCCGGTTTGAAGCGAGACCCTATCGTAATCCTCCGTATCGACGGCGAAGACCTATCGGAGTTCGCTAACGGTCCGAGTTATGAAGCGGAGATGGTGTCCATATTTCAACAGATTGCACCGGACGATGCCGTATCGCTTCGGGATTGCATCGTTAAGGCCTTTGAGAAACTTACCGTCGATCACGGCGTGCCGCCCTGTTCAGATTCTTGGGTAATTTACTTTCCATACGGATATATAGTTTGATCTTCGATCTGTAATGTTAAGAATCTGGCTTGTGTTTGCTTGTGGTGTAGGTTATTAGCAACATAATAGAACCGGCTCTGCAATCATGGTCGGATGGCTATGATCTCGAGAAACTTGTGTCGCAAGAAACGTTCCTCGAAGAATTTAAGAAAGTTGCAGAGCGTGTGACTAAAAATCTCAAAGAGAAACCGGTGATCGTCGCCCATAACGAAAACACCTTGGATGGAAGCGGCATTAAAAGGCTACTATCCAACAAGTTTGAACTAGACAAGGTATATATGTTGATCCATTTGTTGTCTCCCCTGTATGTACTCTGTATGTTGGACTTACCAAGGAATGCATTTCTTGCAATCGCAGTCACTTAGTATAGCCTTGAACAACGTCCCAAAAGATCGCAACGGTAAAGTATCGAAGGAGTATTTACGTGCGGTGCTCGATGTCGTTGCTCCATCGGCCGGTTTACCTCCAATCGGTGCAGTCGAAAAGGTAATGCCACAACATATGTATTGGGAACATACATGATCATAGGATGTAATACAAACTTGCAAAATGCAACTATAAGGCCTATGTCATTCCTCTTAAACCAAAGCTGTCGAAATTTCTCCAGATTGACAAGGTCATTGCCGATGCTTTCGACATGGTAAATGCGAACGACGGGAAGATGGTTAAAGAAGACGAGTTCAAGAAACTATTGACGGAGATCTTGGGGAGCATCATGCTGCAGTTAGAGGGAAACCCGGTCTCGATATCTTCGAATTCCGTTGTTCATGAACCCCTGACATCATCGTCGTAGCTACTGCAGCTGTCGTCGTAGTGTAGATCTTTATATATATATATATATGTATCGTAGTTGAGTTTGAGTTTTGTCGAGTTTAATTCTTTTTTTAATTTTAAGTTATTTTAGATTTGGACTATTTAAAACGATTAAAAAAACAAAAGAAACATAGCCCAGTGCAGTGTCTAGGTCTAGATAAGAGGAGCACTTGTTCAGAGTCTAAAATTATCATATTCATAATCATTATGTTTATAGTAGTATATGTTATTAAAATTTTACTATTACGATATATACAATGATCATAATATTATCTGTTAATTTGTAATAACGATAAATATAATATAATCAAATATATAAATATAAATTATGATTTAAATCTTTAATTAATGACCTAATATTTTGATTCGTCCTAGAACATCAAAATTTAAAAAAAACGGAACTGACATGATCACCACGTGTGAAATATTGGTTGTTCAATGGGTGCACGTGCTTCCATTAACGCGGGAAATACAGACAAATCTTATTGTCTTCTTCTTTGTTCTTTTATCTTCCCATCCTTATTTCTTGAAGCTGAAATCTGCAGATTAAGATAATGTTTTTGAGTTCAAAGTAAGAGTTTTTTTTTCCAGTTTTGGTCAAGCATGAAAATTTTGTTATTCTATTATAAAAACGGGTAAAGTACATAAATAGTTTCCGACTAATGTTATTTTATTAAATCTCATGACTATTAAATACTATAAAATGATCATTTAATTATATGGAGTTGTTTTATTAAGTTCATTGATTATTAAAAGTTACAAAATGATCACCCGATTATTCATTATGTTCCGAATTCGTCTAGTTCCGTTAAAAATTTGATGGCGGTCTAAGTTGTACATTAACTCGTTGATTGAGATATGACAAAATCTTATCTCATAATCTAAAACAATTATCATACCTCAGTCAATATGTTAACGTCAAACTTAGACAACTGCTAATTTTTTAACGGAAAATGACGAGTTTGAAACATAATGAATAGTCGAGTGGTCATATTATAACTTTTTAATAGTCGAGAAACTAAACAAAGGAACTCCCTATAATTGAATGATCATTTTATAATTTTTAATAGTCAATAGACTTAACAAAGCAATGTATCCTTTGTGTTAATAATTACGTTTCAATGAGTTTTTTCAACACAAAAGCATCGTTTCTCTAATTTCTTGGTTTGAGTCGATAATTACGATTCAAAAGTTAATTTTTGATTAAAAATGAGTTGTTTAGGGTTGTTTTTACTTTTCAAATGGAATTTTAGGCTCAAATCATCTCCATAAACATTTCCAAACGGTCCCCAACAACGGAGAATAAAAGTTTAATATAAAAATAAGTGTCTAAACTATATTTAAAATTATATTTTTGTGTCTAGAAATTTTTTTTGTTGAAAATAGATGTCTAATATTTTTTTCTTTATATTTTTAGGTGTCTACCGTCAAAAAATATTATGTGACAGGTGTTTTTTAGATTTTAAAAAATATATATATTTTAAAAAATAAAAAAAATATAAACGTGACATGTGTCACTTAATTTTTTTAATGGTGATTACTTAAAAGTGTAACAGAGAAAATATCATACACCTATTTTTAAAATAAAACTTTAGACACCAAAAATAAATTTTAGGTATCGTTTAATCAGAAAAAATTAAAATTAGATTACCAAAACAGAATTACAGTAAAACTTGAGAGACTAGTTGCGTGATTTACGCTTTAATAAAACATAAACACACATGCTTGACCGTCAGATTGAGAACCACTCGTGGACCCCATTCGACCAACGGCTAAAAATCTTCCAAGCATCGTCAACAAAAAAACAAAAAAAACCAGGGCTTTTTTTCTTCTTCTGACCTGAGAGCATTATTGAATTTTCAATCTACTTTCGCTTCTGGTTAAAAAAAAGCTGCACTTGCAAAGGCAAAGAGCTTCCATGGCTTCTCACGGTGAGGGATCGGATGCTCCGGTGGATCCCATGGTTTCTCAATTCGAAAAACATCCAATTTCATCGATCCTTATCATTATCGGTAAAAAATAGAAAACCCCACTTTCTATCTCTCTTTACTTTTCCATTTTACGTTTAGTTTCTTTCTTTAGTTTTCCATATTTTCGTTTAATTTCTATTTTAATGCTTACTGGGTTTCGGTTTATGTTTTCAATTCAGCTATGCAAACAGAAGCTTTGCCGGTGGTGAATAAGTTCCAGCTCGTTGAAAACCCTCACTCTCCGTGAGCTCGTCTTTCCCTTTTGCTGTTTCCATTGATTTTTTTGTTAAAGTTCGTTTCTTGGAAGCCATTAAAGTCTATTGATTCGATGTTGGGTTGATCTTTTAATCATCAATGTTTTAATACTTCAGTGTGTTTGTATTTGGTGTTTTGTTTTAGATTCAATGTTGGCAATTTTGCAGGTTTCCGGAAGGGGTCCCTTGGGTCCATTATCATGGTACATATAAGGACATTACAATGAATCTAGTTTGGCCCGGAAAAGATTCGACCTTGGGTAAGTGCTTTCTTTCGTATACGAAAAACTCACGGTAAAGAGAGATCGCAATGAATCGTTGCATCTTATTCGTAGACTCCAAATGTTTCCGGCATCGGTTACAGGAGAATTCTTAACTTTATTGGCTAGTAACCGAGTCGGTTGCACTGATATGTCGACAATTGGAAGCTTCTTCCATTCGCTATTCCGATTTGTTAAGGTGTGTGATTAATTCGTTGCAGGGGTTGATAGTGTCGGCACGGTTTCTGCCTCGCTTGTGACCTATGCATCAATCCTGGCATTGCGGCCGGACTTGATCATAAATGCAGGCACTGCTGGTGGCTTTAAGGTCATAGTACCAATGATTCTTAGCTATGTTTCTGTTAGATATATGCTTCTTACATCAATTTTCTTTTGTAACTCTATGCTGAATATTTTGTGTATTTATTCTTGGATTCTTTCAGGCAAGGGGAGCAGGGATTGGTGATGTTTTTCTCATATCTCATGTTGCATTTCATGATAGAAGAATACCAATCCCGGTGAGTAATATCGACCCTTACTCTTCAATGAATTTACTTCTCATTCAGTGATTTGTGAAGGCTGACGATACCGGATCACACATTTTCTTTTCCGTAAAATCAATGTTCATCATGAACCTCGAACCTAGTTTGTGCATTGCTGAGCAGTTTTATTTCCAGCTCTTGTACTTCTTTAATGATATATCAATAAGTAATATTTTTTTTCTTCTATAGGTTTTTGATCAATATGGCGTTGGTTCACGGCAGACCTTCTCAACACCGAATCTCTTGAAAGCACTTAATTTGAAGGTAAATTGGCAAGTGAGCTGGTTTGCCGTCCATGTTTCGAACTTCTGTATTTTCTGATAACATTGAACTTTTACAATCCCTTTTCATTTCTTTCAATCTACGCATTTTCCCTTAGAATTGCTTGTTGGTCGGTTGAGGCTGTTGTTTATCGTTCCTAGATGCCTCGTTAGCGTATGAAACGCTTGCACCTACATCTTTGTTAAGGGACACAACAAGGGCAATTGCCATTGTACTTAGAATTGCTTGTTGGTCGGTTGAGGCTGTTGTTTATCGTTCCTAGATGCCTCGTCAGCGTATGAAACGCTTGCACCTACATCTTTGTTAAGGGACACAACAAGGGCAATTGTCATTGTACTTCCCTCTGTGTTTCAGGCTGGCAAGTTATCTACGGGCGATTCGTTGGATATGACCCCCAAGGACGAAGAGTCGATTGCAGCAAACGATGCTACCGTCAAAGATATGGAGGTAATTACCGAAAAACCCCATATGGATCACATAAGTCTTATGAAACCACGCATGCTACTCGAAGGAGACATTTTTCGTACTTCAAAACGACGAAATTTGCTGCCTCATTTGTTCTGTTATTTTGTTTCAGGGAGCAGCCGTAGCTTATGTTGCAGATCTTTTGAAAGTTCCTGCAATATTTGTTAAAGCGGTGACGGATATAGTCGACGGTGAAAAACCAACTGCAGAGGAATTCCTGCAGAATCTGGCTGCAGTGACCGCTGCCCTCGATGAAGCAGTCGCTCGAATTATCGATTTCATCGGCGGAAAGTGCCTGTCCGAACTTTAATTTTCGTCACGTTATCACTCTTTTTCAGTCTGAAACATATATGTGACAATAGACTTGTATTCCTTACATTTATGAGATGTAAAAGAAGGATCAAGACAACAGCAATTGATAGTTTGATCAGTCTTGTGCTTGAATAAAAATTTATATACAAATCCACCTATGATTATTCATTAAATAAAAGTTTACAAATTTATTTACATAAAATGATTCACCCCCCCAACATAATCTAAAGCCTCAACAGGTAAGATTCATAGCTTATAACATAGGTGATCTATCCCAGCTTATTCTAATAATTTAAAGTATTTGACACAAAAAAGTTAGTCCTATGAAATCTTTTACGTATAAATAACCATCCAAAAGTTTCAGCCATCAAACTATACAATCCACTGACATCGAGTCGAAAGAAATGTGTCGAGAGCGGAAAAACAAGAACAACTTGTCATGTTTTGTAACCGAGTTATACTTCTTTCAGTCAGCAAGCTCGTCGACAACCAGAAAACGGCGTCTTAGCTTATACCACTCCAGAGGGAAGACGGAGAACAAGCTGCCCTCCGAATACACTGCACATAGATGATTCTATGAGTAAATATTAATGATGTTTAGGTTGTAACATATACTACTAAGGTTGTAACATACCTCTTGATATAATAGTAACAGAAGTCCGCTAAAATGAAAGTTTGGACGATTTCGGATATGAGAACCATAGAAGGCCACAATCCATAGCCTAGGGATACCAGCAAGCGTCCGCTGCTGTCTAGAACCTGTTGAACACGGTAGAGAAATGAATTACTATCTCGATGCAATCAATCACCGTTATAATAAATCAAAATAACACTTCCCGCAACCACCGGCATCATACAAAGGTTTCACTCGAACACGAGAATTTTTATGTTCAATGTTGCCTGGATTCTTCATTTTTTTCTAGAAGTACCCGTATCCGACACGCACTCAAGAGTTCGAGTAACATAGCTTATGCTAACAATATCATTGATTGACACGTAGAAGAAGTAAGTTGACGGGCAAAATGGCATCCAGTTCGAACTTCAGGACCATACATCATGCATGCTCAAGCTGTCTATTATTTCCAAAGTGGATAAATTTTACAAAAATAAATACTCAAAGTGGGTCTAGATTTCAGCATTGCTAAACATCAATAAAAATTTAACCTAAACCAATCACGTACAACTTCTCGTCAAAAGATCTAACCTGGAGAACCCAGTGGGCACAGCTGAGGAACCTTGCAATACCCAATGCAAATACATAATGAGCAGTGAAAGGCTCAACAATCTGCATGCACCAAGAAGGCGAGTTACAGCAGGACTTGTATAAACCTTCTGAATGTAATCTATTATGTAAGTAATTCCGTACCTTAGTATTTTGCATCACTTGCAGCTGAGGTAAAACTGAGATGGCTTCCAGATATACACAGAATGCCCAGAGAATACGGTTCACAAGATTATGAGAAGTTGATGGATGAATACACAGAGCTAGTCCAGCACAAGGGAGAACCTGCGTCCAAATTCCCAGGTATGACTTCTACAATGTGTTCAGTAGAAGAATCCATTTGAGCAACGAAGTTGATAATTGTGCAGTTAATATGAGTCCATGTGTAACAACACAAAAGGTAACACATTCAATTGTGTTGGCTCAACTGGTTATATGATGCAATATATTGAATCAACCCGGGAAAGTTGAAGCAAAACTCGACTTTCACAATTATATTTGAAGCAAACAGCATGAAGAACACTTGAAGACAAATGAAAGCTCATAACAGAGATAGATTTCTAGCAGGACACAAAGTAGTAAATGAAGAAAAGAAAATATGACGGATGGAAACGTACAACATTGGAAATGGCAAAGTTGTCCTTGTCTTCCATGTAGCTGGACTTCAGTTTGAAACGGATCATGTAAATAACCCACAAGGTCGTAGCCAATGTCGATAAATCAAGTGCGGTGTGTATATCATACTCCATGAAAAAGCTGCAGTACAGCCTAACAGCTAAAAATATAGCTGTTAGTTCTTGGGATTTCAGTGATAGTCCTAACAACGTTCGAAAATATATCCAAATCAAGTAAGTACAGTATCTTCGCGGATGAGGAATTTTGACACTTCAGTTAAAACATAAGAAAACAATCAAGAATGTATCATACTATCAATCTATCATTAATTGATTTAATCACATGAAAAAGATTAAAACAGATAATGCATATTCATTCATTAATGGAAGTATCAAACATTCTGGTCATATATGCAATTGGAAAAACCGTACATATAGCACATTTTGATCAAACATAAGAATTAGCAAAGTACAAAACTCATAAATGTCATCAAACAGGCCGGACAATCAATAAAGGAAAAAGAAATCCATTGTAAATCGATATGATACCATACTATAAACATTTAATCTATGTTAATCCGACATGTTTTTTCAAAATTTTCATATATTTAGATGATCTTTGGAATTCGTATCTATATGCTTTTTCAATCATATTGAAGAGACATCCATGCATCATGCCATCATGTATTAAATCTGAAACTTTCTTATCAAATGATGAAAATTAAAGCTTCTTTGTGTGTGGATTACCAGCACAAGTCTTCTCTTTCGTGAGTTTAAAGATGAGGACAGAAATTCCGAGGGAGTGGACAGACTCGGCGGCGACGAAGAGATTGTCTTGGTCATGCACGATGAATCGGAGAAAAAGGAGCGCCGAAATCCCCGATACCAGCGCCATGAGAGCCTTCACCTTGGGCGGTTGTCGCCTCATCCACATTGTTACGGCCTGGATCAGCTTCTTCTCTGCCCTCATGTCGTCTTGTTTATTTATTTCTCGTTTTCCCGGGAAAGAAAGAGAAAATGTGGGAAAATGGGGGAAATGCGCCAATCAGGAAATGTTAGTATAACGTTAATGAAATCTTTGCGCTTTGGGATTTGATTTTATAGTTTTCGTGTTTAATTAAGGAAAATCCTTTATTAAGTTTGGGGTTATTTCCTCCATTCTAATTAAATATTTATTTTTGAGGAAAAAGAAAAAGAAAATAATATCTAAATTTAAAAATGCACTTGAGTGGATTAGTTTTAATCTAAACAATTAACATAAGAAATTGTCACATACTTAATTTATGATTTGGTTGTAAATATTTATCGTAATTTGAAATATTCTATATTTTGAATAAAATTAATTATTTCCGTTTTAATATATATATATATATATATATATATATATATATATATATATATATATATATAAATTTAAATTTTAATATTATTATATTAATTTTGTCAATCAAATGATTTAATTATTAAAATGATAATGGCAAGTAAATATTTTCGAAAATATATATCCCAAACAAGTTATAAATAGACTAGGTTGAGAGGGTCGCTCATATTAAACTTATGCATATTCAATCCATATTGATTAAATAATTAATAGATGGTATATCAATTATTATACAGGAATTGAAACTCAAAACAAAGAGAAGTAGCTCGTTAACTAACAATTCAATCAAACAGTGAGAATTTATCTGTTTCATTCGACTCATAAAAATGTTTTAATGATAGATTATGGAAATTGCAACCTGATTTGTACGTGTCAAATATACAACTATTGTAGCTTGGGGCTGCAATTAACAAAAGATGCATCAAAGATAAGATATACAACTGTTGGCATCGAAATTTGTTATCTCGTGCTCAGCTGTTTAAACTTATTTATAGAATATAGAGATTTAGATTTGTTTTGTGTTTAACATTTCTTTGGCAAAGTAGTAAGCGAGTAGTACATGGATAATCCCAATAGCATAATTACTGTTATTATTTTACCTTGGATGGTTAGTAATTGGAAGTGAAAACAGCGGTTTTGCTCGTTGTCTACACAGATTATCTCCCTTCCTAAACCGGTGATTAATTTCTTTCATATTCCAGGATTGCAACCATTCCTTTTTCTAGGCTATATACTGCACCCATCATAGAAGATTTCGTCTGTATGGATATTTGGGTCTATTGGACATGGAGGATTAGCATAGGATCACAAAGTTTTGCTGCCAATTGCCTTTGTAAACACTTAATACCTATTTAGACATTTAGTCCTTCGATTGCTGTTGTGGGGCTGTCCGCTTAGTTTCATAGATGTTGCACTATTGACTTGTTGGTGTTATTCTTTCTAAGAATGTTGTCTGGGTGGCATTATGGTTCTCTACCTTTTGCTAATTGATTCCTCTAGATTTATTTATGTATAGACTTTTCAATCTTGTTTTACTTGATATTTTATCACTGCTGTGAATACAGTTGATTTTTAAAATCTCGCTCTTTGTTATATATGGCTTTACCTGAGACGATATGGTCACTTTTTTTGTTTGATACATTGTTTTTTATATTGATCCAGTTTCTAGAGACTTAAGCTTCATTATGGATTCTTTCGTATGTTGACTAATAATAGCAGCTTCCATGGTGCTTTATGTAGAAAAGTTCAGAACCAAAGAGGTTTAATCGTGGAAAATTTGGCAAAGATCCCACAGTGGAAGCTAGCTTTCTTCCCGACAGGTGACATTCTCTATGTGTCTGATGGTACATGTATAATTATGTTTGTAGCAGAAATGGACCTAACATTTGAGCTTAGGGACGGGGATAATCTTTCAGTCAGAGGGAAGCAGAGGAGCAAGCTGAGCGTGACAGGTTACGGAAACAGTGGATTCTTGAACAGGAGCAAATTAAGAGTAAGTTTACTTCTGGAATTTTCCTTTTTATATTGATGCATGAAAAATGGTGTCTTGAGATTGTGTTTTTGTGTCTCAGATGAACCCCTTCAAATTACTTACAGTTACTGGGATGGAGCAGGTCATAGACGAGTGATCCAGGCAAGTGAAACTACCTAAATAAAATTTACCCATCCGAATGCTTTTACCTTATGGCTTAATTTTCTTTTTCCATTGATCCATTATTTTAGTGGTTTCTGTTTTCATTGTTCAGGTACGCAATGGTGATACCATAGGAGAATTCCTTCGAGCAGTTCAACAGCAGCTTGCTCCGGAATTTAGGGAGATTCGAACAACTTCGGTGGAAAATCTGCTTTATGTGAAAGATCTAATCATTCCTCATGTGAGTTGAGCATGAAACCAGGCTCTTAATAGCAATTGCAATCTTTACCATGTTTATTGAATGTTAGCTAACTTGATTTCATTTCTTTCCATGCTGGTAAAGTAGTCGAGAGGCACTGGTACGAAAAGAACAAGCACATCTTCCCTGCTTCAAGATGGGAGGTACGAACTCGTTCTACTCGCTTCCGCGTATCACAATTGCCCTTGGCTTGCTTCTGATGCAACAAATAACATAACCTATTTAGCCAAAATTACTTTGATTTGTTAAAGACTGAAGATTAAGTTTAGTTGGTTCTTATTCATCTTTGTGTACGTCAGATACACGATCCGACGAAGAAATGGGACCGATAGACCATCCATGGAGATTGATCGACCCTCGAACCCTCTATAAGAGGAGGCTGCCTCTACATATGCATTAAACAAGTTAATTATTCTAGATATTGTCTACAAACAGATTATTTTTGTTTATGTATTTCCATGGAGTCTTAATCTCATATTGTGGAAGCTTTTCTAATTGTAGATTAGATTTAGATCTTAGAGATCTAAAACTTGATAATGCAAGGACGTGTTGTGATCCGACTGCTTTGCACATGTCAAATTTTCTCCACAATAAAAAATATTTTTATTAATGGAACAAAATTATTTGAAAGAAAATATGACCCACATAGATAATTTCACTAAATTTTGTTTGTATCGCTTTTCTATACTCATTTTTTAATTATCTTAACGTGGTTACTAAATTTTTTAAGGGTAAATTACGTGTTTAGTACTTAAACAATAAGTTTTGATTCATTTTAGTACCTAAACTTTTAATTTTATCAAAATTTAACGTTAAGTTTTGAAAAATTTTGAAAGTTTAGGTATTAAAATTGATCAAAATTGATAGTTCAGGTACTGAATGCGTTAAGTTTTTAATGGCAGTGTATTAAAATGAAATGAAAACCAAATGTTAGGTATGATTTTGAAAAATGTGAAAGTTTAGGTATTAAAACAAATCAAAACTAATAGTTTAGGCATTAACTATGTAGTTTATCCATTTTCTAATTGCTCTTTCTATCTGTGTCAAATAAAAGATAACATGGTGATTGATTACCAGTTTCTTTTTATTGTTATTGTTATGTCATTCGAGTAATTTAGACTTAATTTAATATGATAAGGATAATTTCAATCTACAATTTTTATAAATCAAGATATATAATTTTCTCATTTTCTATATTTCCATCATTAGAATTTGAAAAAAATATGCTTCAATATTAAAAAATAAAAAGAAATTTGAACGTTTATTTTTTAGGAAGATTTAGCGGAATTCTTTCCAAAAAAAAGTGAAGAAAAATTTATTGAAAAAACATTTTGCATATCATCATTACTTATTTAAAAATGAAATGATAAAAAAAATAAACTTATTGGTAAATTTAAAAATTAAATTAAATGGCCAAAAGAAAAATATTACTAAAATGGGAAAAGTGCACGAATGGTCCCCTGACTATGTGGTACTGCTTTATTAAGTCCTTGTATTGTTAAAAGTTACAAATTGATCTTTCGACTATAGATTGTTGTTTTGTTGAGTCTCTCGACTATTAAAAGTTACAAAATTGTTATCCGACTATTTTGTATGTTCGAAACTTGTCTTTTCTGTCAAAAAATTAACGGTATTCTGAGTTGAATGTTAACTTGCAGACTGCGATATAATAAAATTTGATCCCGAAATCTCAAACGACTATCATTTCTCGGTCATCATGTTAACGTCTTGCTTAGGAAACCGTCAATTTTATAATGGAAGAGGAGGGATTTGGAACATAATGAATAATTGGATGAACATTTTGTAACTTCTGATAGTCGAGTGACTCAACAAAACAACATTCAATAGTTTAAATATCATTTTGTAACTTTTAATAGAAGTAGGAGATCATTTGTGTAATTTACCCTATTAAAACTCAGTGATGAGAAGGCGTGGTTTACCTAGCATTATTTAAGCACGAGATTGACCAAAGATCCCACGTTTAGCTTGGTTTGATCCCGAGTTCGACTTTGTAATTTGAGTCCGGTAATTGTACGAGTTGGCACTCACACGCCGATCTTTTCACTCTTTCCATTTCCCTCTACTATGACGAGAATGGCGATCAAAACCTTCGGGGTTTTATTCTTCGCACTACTCCTTGCCTCCCCTATCCTGCAAGGTTTTTAAATTATCTTCCAGATCTAGATCTATTCGCTTTAGTTTTTAACATTAATGAAGCTATATATGCTTATCAATTCAATTATTTTCTGCTTGCATGTTTACTGCGATTGTGTTGATCTGTTCCATCAAGATGCTACTAGATTGTGTTTTCAACATTAATTAATCTCGATTTACGATTTTTGTTCAGACTCACGGTTGCATTGTAATTTGTATGATTGTGATATTTCCATTAATTTATCTTTTTTCTAGTTTCTTAAAAAGTTGATACATCGTTCCCCTATAATTTGTCTTACTGGTATTATACTGGCTTTTAAAAGTTCAATTTAGCTTTCCACTTTTTTAATGGCAACGGAAATAAAGCTTGTTAAATACTCTGATATTTCTGTAACATTCATGAAGTGAATATTTCTTGATGCTGATTTCCATTTTTCCGGTAAATTAATAAATAAATGAATTTCCAGTAACTCTGTTTGCTTTATATTATTTTGTGATGGGATTTTTCTTCTATGTGATAGTTGTTAGGTGTCAATCTGAAGCCGAGGCAGATGTTACAGAAGCTGCAGAAGGAGGTGAACTCGGTGTTGTTGGCGATGATGTTCAAGATTTTGGTCATGGGAATTTTGACTCAGCTCTGGGAGTTGAAACTGTCAGTCTTTTCCCAAAGAATAACGCCAAATGTAACGACTTTCACATGCTGCTTGTGGGATTTTGTTGTCGAATGATTTTGAGAGATGTGCATTTTTATTATCGGGCTAACCTTTTCTTTACTTGGGCAGTGGTTAAGGCCGGAGAAGACACTGAACTACTTGTTGGGATGGAAAATGTTGGTAATTACTAATTATTTTCTCTTCAAAATGTTACTGGCTTGTTTCATAATGAAATTTGATGATATATGTTGAAGTGGTAACTCATTTTTTCTTGTCTTTCATTGTCTATGCTTAAATGCTTACCTCTTTGAAATCAGCCATGTGGGGCTTTCTTCTCTCTTTGCTTAGCGTACTTCTTTAAATTGCAGGCGAGTCACCCGTGAATGTTATTTCCGTCACAGCCAGTGTTCATCTCCCTTTTGATCATCGTATGCTTGTTCAAAACCTAACAACACTGGTAATCATGAGTTCTCTTAAGATTTTGCTGGTTAAAATTTTCTAGTTCTGTTGTTCATTAGTTAGTTCAGTTTCCATTTGGATTAATTTCTATTATTACCTAAATAAAATGTTGTGCCCATTGAGTTCGTTCTTCTAGATCATTTTCATGTTTGTGCTCAAAATGTTAAAGGCATTGAATCATGCATGTTCTCTTGTAACATCTACATTACAAGAGCAGAGAGTTTGACACTAATCTAGAGATCTTTACCTCAGTTTAAGAAAACAATGGCAGAGAGTTTGGCACTAGTGTAGATTTTCCTATTTCATTAAATCTAAATGTTATTGTAGACTTTACAATGCTGTTACTGTTTAGTTGGAGCCTGAGTTTGTAATCACGGTTTAGACATTCACGCTCAAATTGATCACTGCACAATTATTATGTTGTGCCACTGGTTTTGACTTTTTGGTTTTTTTATATAAATTTATTTCCCTTTCATACTTTGTTATCAAATGTTTGTTGCATTATCTGAAAAAGATCTTCAACATTTTGCTATAGAGGTGATCATGCACTTTATTATTTTGGTGTTTCACAGCCTACATTGTTGGATTGAAACTGCCTGTGACATTTGCTTGTAGATTCAATAACTGAAAATGTCTGTTTGAATGTAGGCCTTTAACAATGCAACTGTACCCCCTTCAAAGCAAGCTACTTTCCCTTACACATTTGCGGTTAGCAAGTACTTACAGGTAAATGGTTAGAGAGTTTTATGACCTAAAAGGCTAGAACTGTATATAGGTTCTTTAGAACCAAAGATCTGTTCGGTTCAATGTGTTATAGAGAATCCGACACTCAGTAATTGTAAAAGGTCTGTATACTGGTTTTGTATCAACCTAAATGTGCGATTTAAATGCATACTGGTTGAACTATTGATTGGAGATCCCACTGGTTTAACCTCCATTCTGTTTTTAATTCATTGGAGAAGGATTGCTATTTCTGTTAAGCTTACACGTTTAGAACTTTGATGCAGCCTGGAACTTTCGATCTTGTGGGTATAGTTGTCTATGAGATTGACCAACACCCATATCAAACTACATTCTATAATGGTACCATTGAAGTTGTTGAGGCTGGTGGTTTCCTGAGTGTGGAGTCCGTTTTTCTTGTTACCCTTGGGATTGCTCTTCTCATTCTCCTCGGTTTATGGATTCAAGGCCAATTTCAGCGTATCTCCAAGGTATTCTACTTGTGCCACTTAGTTCTGATATATTGATTTATTCGAGTATCTATGAATAAGATACGATTAACACATGTTTTAGACTAGTTATTATATGATCCACTTCCCCATAGACGAAGCACAGCACATCCATGTATCCATGGAGAAAAATCTCTATTCTTTCAGCATGAATGGCATGTTTGTTTCTATTATTTTGCTAGAAAACTAAGAGGGCTCCAAAGGTCGAAGTCGGAACCGTGAGTAGAGATGCCTCATTGAACGAATGGCTTCAGGTTATCGCTTACACATCATTATCGCTTACCATAATTTCCTTTGCAGTGATAGATTTGCTTTCATTTTCAGTCCTTCGAACCCTATGTTCATTGGATGTTCATCCGTTAGTTCTAAAAACGAATGCCTGATGATTTCGTGTTTCGGCTTTCAGGGAACTGCTTACACTCGAGCAGCTTCCAAATCCAGGAAGAAGTAGATGGGTAGGGGCTTGTGAAGTCGGGCTAATTGTAAACTCATTTCTAGGCATTTGGAGAGTTTTAAAGTGAGGGCACAAATAGTTTGAGAATTAGGCCAGAAAAAAAGGCATAGCTTGCTTGTTGTAGCATGTGAAGGATCTTTTTTCCTAAAAAGACTTCATATTTAATTTTAACGAGATTCTGAAATTGAGCCTTTTTGAAGTTTTTATTCCTTTTGGTCTTTTTTTTTTAAATTTTAAATTGGTTAGTTTATGATATTTTAAAGAGAAATTTTTAACTTTGATTAGTTTACTCTTTTTTTTTTGTATAACCACATGTATCTGATATATTAATAGATTAATCCAGATTAGGTACTACACAAGCAAGGGATACCCTTTCAATCAAGTCAGACACTTTCACAATAATTTAAAGGGTAAATTACACCAATAATTAATTTCCAATCATCAATTTAAAGGGTGCATTACACAAATCATTATTGAATTTTATTCTCTTTTTTATTTCATTCACTATTCTTTAAATCACTTTTAATTTTCTCATTGAACTTAATATATTTGGTATTTATACCCCCATTGTTTTCTCGCTAACAATGCTAAAAATTTATTGTTATATAGATACAAAACGATATCGTTTTGGTAAAAATTTTATTTTTTTAAAAACGACATTTTAACATCGTTAACTATTTAACGACATATTGACAAAAAAATCAAATGTATTATGTTTAGTGAGAAAATTGTACGAATTTAAAGTATAGTAAGTGAAATAGAAGAGATAATAAAATTAAATGATTATTGGTGTAATTTACCCTAATTTAAATTGACCAAATGAGTAGAGTGTTTTTTTATTCTTAAAAAATGGCACAAAAATTGAAAGTCGTCAAATTATCAGTTAGATTTTAATTAGTAAATCAAAAGAGTAGAGCGATTAGATAAGAATTTTTAAATATGTGAAGAGTATAAGGACTAAGAGCATAATTAGACCGTTCTTCTTCAAATCCTGTAAACGGGGAAACTCCCTTAAGATTGATTAAAAAGATCAAAAGGAAGCTTCCTTAGATTCAGTTGATACAGTTCCTATCAACAATGAAGGCAAGGACGAGCGCAAGTTAGTAAAATAACGCGTGAAGCAGGGGATCCGTTAATCTACCGTTATGTGTACCGTACAAAAATGGATAAAGGGGAAGCTTCCAACAACACGACGGATCATAGAAAATAAAAGGATTTTTGTTTTTTGTTCAATTGAATTATTCTTCTATGGAGGGAAAGAGGGTTTAAGCTTCTTTCTCTCTTTTCTCATTTTCTTTTATTGATTCATTAATCTTTGTTTCATTTTGGCGGGAATTCGATTCATCTGTTTTTTTTTAAAGAATAATTACTGTTGTTATCTAAGCGTTGATTGATTATTGATGTGATCGAAGAGCAATGGGCGGATTATCTGACAATGCGAAGGGAGTGATTTTAGCAGTGGCGTCGAGCGCTTTCATCGGCTCGAGTTTCATCTTGAAGAAGAAAGGGCTCAAGCGTGGCGGTATTTCTGGTATTCGCGCAGGTTTGTTTTCTCTCTTCTTTTTCTTTGATAAATGACTTTAATCCATGATTGAGCTACAGGATTTTGTTTATTGAAATTCTCAGATGTAAAACGTTCGATTTAGAAGGATATTCAAGAAACAAGTTGGGAATTGGGATATGTCGATCAAACATATGGCTATTGAGATTTTGCAATATAAAAATGCACAATAAGATCTGAGATTGGCATAGTTGCTTCCATATAAGAATTTGTACAGATCAGATGTAGTGGGTATTCGTATTCCATAGATTCAACTGATAGTTTTTATTTGATTCTTTGTAAATTCTGGGATTGGTTAGTAGTGTTTTGTTACTTTGTCGTGTTGTATGATTCAGTATCAGTATCAGTACTCTGCTCTGTTTGGATAATAAAATTCACCATCTATTTCCTATGGTATTATAACATAGGCGTTGGAGGATTTTCCTACTTACTAGAGCCACTATGGTGGGCGGGGATGATAACGAGTAAGTTGATTTACTCGCTACACAATCTTTCGTTTCCCAAACATATAAGCATGATAAATTCATGTTCCGTGTTGAATTGATTATCGAGTTTCATTCTGATTTCTGTATGAATAGTGATCATCGGAGAGATTGCAAATTTTGTAGCATATATCTATGCTCCTGCAGTTCTAGTCACCCCACTTGGTGCTCTAAGTATAATTGTTAGGTAAGCTTCTTTTGTTGGCAGTAAGTTCTTTAGATATTATTGAAACTCCATCTATTTTTATGTTTTCGAATCTGTATAGCTTACAAGCTTTATGAATTTCAACAGTGCTTGCTTGGCACACTTTCTTTTGAAGGAACGGATTCAGAAAATGGGGATTGTAGGTTGTGTGTCCTGCATTGTCGGTTCGGTGGTGATTGTAATTCATGCACCTCAAGAGGAAACCCCAAGTTCTGTACAAGACATTTGGACTCTAGCAACACAGCCAGGTTCGGTCTTTCACTTTATATGTTTTATTCTTTGTTGTTAAACTCAATGCGAGTCGTTGATTATTGTTCCTTCTCACATGTTTATGTTGGCAGCTTTTCTGGTTTATGTAGCAGCTTCACTTTCAGCAGTTTTAGCTTTGGTCTTGCATTTTGAGCCTCGTTATGGGCAGACAAATATACTGGTTTATTTGGGAATATGTTCGTTAATGGGTTCTCTTACGGTATGTGGATCTCGTTCTGAACTTTTCTCGGTAAATCTGAATAGCACCATGGTATTTACTATGCTGTAAGCACAATGTAAAGGCATTTCTTTTTTGGTTGGTGTCACAGGTTGTTAGCATCAAGGCCATCGGAATTGCTATAAAGCTTTCATTGGCTGGGATAAGTCAGATTGCGTATCCTCAAACTTGGTTTTTTGTTACGGTTGCCACAATCTGTGTCATTACACAATTAATTTACCTCAATAAGGTTAGTATTATTGATTCTGTAATCTTCTTTCTCAACCTTATTCGACCGAATGACCTGAAAACATATGCTCTACTTACGCAGCTAGAATGGTGTAGTTTACAATTTTAAGAATTGTGCTAAGAAAATTGTAAAGTTGATCTAATCCCGCATTTACTCCATTCAATTTACCCAGTGAATTTAAGGTACAGTTGATATTTCGAACACCGAGAGTACCCTTGTATGCAATCTGCCCCGAGTAATATGTATAACTATGAGCCTTCTCTTTTTCTTTGTAATGTCATATAGAAAGGCTGGTTTTGCTCATGCTCGACTGATGTGTATGTATTTATGTTGTAGGCCTTGGATACATTCAATGCTGCACTTGTTTCTCCAGTATATTATGTCATGTTCACAACTTTGACAATCATTGCTAGTGTAATCATGTTTAAGGTAAGTTATTTGATTCATCAGAACTGCAGGACTGTTGCGTGATTACGCTGGTAAATTTTTCACAACTACCGGACTGACGAGCACTAGTGAATGTTGTTATCCTGTTCTTTTTACAGGACTGGTCAGGCCAAAACTCGGGCAGCATTGCTTCTGAGATATGTGGATTCATCACCGTACTGTCAGGAACAATCATACTTCATGTGACAAGAGAACAGGAACCACCTCCTCCAGTAGGTATGTGCAGTACTAATCCTTTCCCTTAGATATCGAATTTCAAAGGCCATGCAAAGTTTTCCCAGGAAATACATCCTTCCTAGCGTCGGACTGCCCCGTCTGTTTAATACATGCGCCTGCAACCACACGTCAAAACTTTATACGATAGTCCTTAGTAAAGCAAGACTGCAAATTAGGAATTGCTTCAACTGTCCATACCAACCCGTTTGAAATGCTTCACATTGTATTAGGCATGCTAGCTCTTTCAGTTGAGCTTATATCAAAGCATATATTTACGTCGCAGGAACCATTACGTGGTTTATTAGTGGCGATTCAATAAAGAATCCCGAGGACGAACCTCTAATCACTCCCCGCCGTGTGGACGAGTATTACGAGCCGTGAGGTTTCATTCTAAGATAACTGTTCTCATCACCCCCACCCGGATCAACATTAAACCTCGGTGGTGTATATACATGTCGAACATAGAGAGTTGCTTTCTGAGGATATAACTTGTGCTGTTTGGGGAAGGTAATCTCGGCGATACCTTTCTTTTCCCTCAACAAGCTTGCCAATGAGACCCCAACCTGTGTCAGTTAATACACCATGAATTGGAATCAACTGGTTTTCACTGACAGTGAATTTGGGTCAATTCTATTATTAGTCCTTGTTATTATACCCAACTTTGAATTTAATCCATGTACTTAACTGGGTATAATTTGATTATCATACCATTATTATGTTTGTGACGTAAATGTCAAAAAGATAGTTGAGTAACATAAACAGAAATACATTATAATTGGATATATACTTTTAAAATTTTGATGCTGATTTAAATCTATTAAGCCAAATTTTACTATCACTCAGCGTACTATAAATTTAGTTTCATTTTAGTACCCCGCCGTTAAAGATTTAATGCGTTTTGTACCTAAACTATTAAATTTTAATATATTTTAATATTTAAACTTTCAATTATTTTCAAAACATAACGTTAAATTTTGAAGAGAATATTAAAATGAAACAAAATTTGATTTTAGTTATGGTTTAAAAAAAATAAAAATTTAAGTACTAAAATAGATCATAATTATAATTAAAATACCCTCAAGTTTATTGTCAAATTCTCTAACTGTATGTATTGCCAAGTGCCAACCATACTATTGAAATATTTGATGTTTTGCTATACAAAATATGTTGGGGCCATTGACTTAATTGAAAGGCACGTAGGTCGAGTATAATTAACAAAGAATCAGGTGGCAGACAATAGATTGACTGGTGATCATTTCATTTTGAAAAATCAGACAACCTTCCTCAACTACTCATATCACATGGCTCATTTTGTTGAACTAATCAGAGAAAATCCCCTAGGATCTCGGAAAGTTCAAAACCTGTCGGAAACAGGCCTCTAAAACGAAACAGGCCAGTGGAGCCGTTATAATTTTTTTTAATTAATTCGGATCGACTCACGCTATATATCTAACTTTTATAAATGAATCTTTCAAAAAAATTAGGTATAAAAGACTCGAACTCCATATATTATTGTTTAAACGATATCAAATTATTTATTACTTAACAAATGATTATAAAAGTGGATTATTAATGCTTTATCTCTTCTTCCCTTGTAGGTTAACTGCCTTTGAATCCTTGTCTTCCTGCCTATTTATAAAGCCAATTGTTTACTGTAAAGTTCTATGCATATTCTTCTTCTTTGAAAATGTGCAAGCTAAGCTTCATTCTATTGATCATCTCCCTCGTCGCGGTCATGCCATGGGCGGCTCAAGGCTTCCTTGTATCGAGTTGGGCATCCACGAAGCTCGAGACCAAGCAAGAGGCGGTAACCAACCTCCAGTTCTACTTCCACGACACCATCAGCGGCAAAAATCCTACCGCCATCAAGGTAGCTCAAGCCGCCGGCACGGACAAGTCTCCGACGCTTTTCGGAGCCTTGTTGATGGCGGATGATCCGCTGACGAAGACGCCGGACCCCAACTCCAAGCTGCTCGGTCGAGCGCAAGGGGTTTACGGCTCGGCGGGGAAGGGTGAGCTTGCCCTAGTGATGGCCATGAGCTTTTGCTTCACTGACGGGATATACAATGGTAGCTCCATTAGCGTTTTGGGCAAGAACTCGGCTATGACTCCGGTTCGGGAAATGCCGGTCGTCGGCGGGACCGGTGTCTTCCGACTGGCTCGAGGATATGCGTTGGCGAAAACTCATTGGTTCAATGAACTCGGTGATGCTATAGTTGGCTACAATGTTACCATCGTACACTAGCAGTAAAATATGCATGAATTTTACGTACCTTCCCTATCATTATCATTATTTTTTCTTTTCTTTTTTGTTTTTTAACGTAGGATTACTGTGTTCTTAACTCGATCTATATTGTTTTACTAAATAATATACAATATTATTATATATTAATTTGATTGTTTTTAATACATTTTAATTATAGTAATTTATTAACCTAACTATGGACTTTAACGTCATATATCAACACATGCTTTAATATGTCGAGTACAGACGCTTTAGAATGATGTAATAGAAAGGGTTTGTGGCCATAGATGCAGAGACAAGTTTCATGAATGGTAATGATTCATCATGACGAGACATCTTAACTAGAGGTTTTGTTTTGTTTGTGGGATTTGATGATTAACGTAAGGGTAACGTATACAAATGTCCCGATTATAAGATATTATTTTGTTGAGTCTTTTGACTATTAAAAGTTATAAAATAGTCACATGACTATTCCTTATATTCCAAATTCATCTTTTTTTATTAAAAAATTGACGATAATATGAGTTGGATGTTAATCTATTATTTGAGATATGATAAAATATGATCTTAGAATCTCAAACAACTATTATATCTCAAACAACATATTAACATCCATCTCATACTGTTATTTTTTTAACATAAAATGATGAGATTGAAACACAATGAATAGTCGGTTGACTATTTTGTAACATTTAATAGTAAAAAGGCTAAACAAAATAATGTTTTATAGTCATTAGATCATTTTATAACTTTTAATAGTCTGAGTGACTCAACAAAGAAGTGTCCTATAGTCAGGTATCATCTGTGTACTTTACCCTTAATGTAATCACAAGTGGATGGCAGATTAGAGGCAACATAATTCCCTAAAATTTCGGACAGCGCTATACTTGGGTAAAATTGGTCCAAATATGGTACGCAGACTAATTATTTAGTCAAATACAACACTAAGCAAATTATTTAGAGATTTACTGTAAATGTTACTGTTCAGGGGGAAATTCATCACGTATGACGAATTTAAATAAAAATATTTTTTATTTAAACTTTTCATCCCAATGTGATAAATTTTAATAAAAAATATATTTTATTAAAATTCTTCACACCGAGCAGGCCAATTTCCCTTGCACTATAACATTTACGGTAAATCCTAAAATAACTTTTTAGAAAACTTAATAGGCTAAATTTTGTTCTGACTAACTTATTGGGTCAATTTTTCCCTATACTCGTGGGTTTAGTTTTTGGATACTGAGAAACAGGGTTCTCCAAATGGACTCATACCACTCAAATTTGACCCATTAAACCAGCAGCCGGCAACGCAATGTCTGGTCGGAGCTGCCACACACCCAGGATCTGAAACAAGAAAAAAGTTGTCGATTTCTTTACAGCTGTTTATTCATTAGAAAAATCTCATGTTTCAATTTTCTCATTATTCCTTGTAGTAACCACCAGATTGAAAAGAGTGACATTCTATAATCAAATGAAGCTGTGCAAACAGATCATCTGTGCACATGGTAGGAGCAGCCCTAGATATTCATCAATTATGTGCTGTCTACTTTATTTAATTAGACTATCTAATCACCAACTGATCCCATAAAGAGTATCTGTAAAATCTGATTTGGATTAGTCGTTCAATAGATAAGATATGGATGATTAATTTAAAAAAAATATTAGGCTATGTAATCACCCATTAGGCCCCTCTTTCTTGGAGCTCCAATGGCCATCGTTTGTTGGGGGTTTCCCCCCCACTCATTTGGATGTTGGTAAATTCTGTCTCATTTGATAATTGAAGAGTGAATTGATTTGAAGCTTAAAGCTTATCAAACATCTTGTTTAATGTGAAAGCATTGTTAAGGTCTAACTATGGTTTCAACCCCTCTATTATACTCAAATTTTGATTTACGCCCTATTTTAATTTAGCATAATTCTATCAGCGACTTTTGTAGCAACATTAGTTATTAATTAAAATAAACAAAGGATAACCTTTGCTTATCTAGTAGATCCAATTTATTACTTTCGCCCCTTTCATATTTTTGCATCACTTTAGCCTTTGAAGTTGCTCAATTGCATCATTCTATACCCTACCCCTAATTTAAAATCCTAAATTATGAATCTTAAACCCTAAACTATAACCCAATTATCTCTAAACCCTAAATGTAAACCATAATTTAAGATTTATAATTTAGGGTTTTAAATTAGGGATATGATATAGAATGATGCAATTGAGCAACTTCGAGGGCTAAATTGATGTGAAAATATGATATGAGTGAAAATGATAAATTAGATTTAATATAAAGGTAAAGGTGACCCTTAAGCCATTAAAATATTAATATGAAAACCATCATTCCTATGAGTATTGTCATCCATCATGTTAGTATTATATATCATTATGCATTATGCATTATGATTGTAATAACAATTTCTATTAACTAAAGGGTCATGTTGATTAATCTTATATATTTAAGGGATTTATTGGATGAAAAAAAATCATAAACTTAATTGATTCATTTAAAAATAAAGGAGCTCTTGACACCCTTAAACCTTTTTAAAAGAGAAAAGTCATCTTTTTATTTAAATCGAATTAATTAATAATATTAATTATTTAAACCACACTAATGGTATAGTAAAGGACCAAGTTATATTAAATTTATACTAGTATAGAGATTAAAATCATCAAATTGTTGCATAATAGAGGGACTAAAATCATAATTTGACCCAATAATAATTGAAGGGGTTTAGCTTTCCATGGTGGTTGAGCCAGAAACAAAATAATGGGACAAATGAAATTGGATATTATATTGCCAAAGTGCCTTTCCATTCATCCAACCCCACATTTAGCTCATGGGTTTATCAGAAAAGTCCAAAACAAATAAATAATCCAACCAAAGTTTGTATACAATGTTGGACAACCACACATTAGGAAGAATCGTATAGATATAATCGATCGAAAATCAATTTAAAAAACTAGAAAATTAATCAAAAATCAAAACCAAACCCCACCCGACTATGACAGCTTGTGTGAAACCAAGCTGATTTCTATCATTTGTTGCATAAAATGATATATAATCAACCCTACCGGAAGAGTGTCCATTGAAAGCTTGTTCTTCTTCTTCTGTTGTGTTTGATTGATAGAAGAGATGGGGTCTCAGATGTCTAAACAGGTGCAGAGGCGAAAGGAAATCAAGACGGAGAAGAAGACCCTTTGCGAGCTCTACGACAGCTGCGGAGAGACGTATCCCGGAAGCGATTACCGTCCCGCCGACAGGAAGAACTGGATGGCCGGTCTTGGACCGGAGAAAGTTCATATTAACAAGATTGTATGGCCCGGAACACATGATTCCGCTACGAACAAGATCGGGTTCCCGTTCATCACGCGTCCCTTCGCACAATGCCAGTCGTTGTCGATCTACGAACAGCTCGTCAAAGGTACAAGGTTGTTGGATATCCGTGTTAACGAGAACCGCTGCGTCTGCCACGGAATCCTGACGACCTACAGCGTCGATGTCGTCATCAACGACATCAAGAAGTTCCTGTCGGAAACCGAGTCGGAGATCATAATCCTCGAGATCAGAACCGAGTACGGCCACGAGGATCCGCCGGATTTCGAAAAGTATTTGCAGGACAACCTCGGGGAGTTCTTAATTCACCAGGATGATCATGTGTTCGGTAAAACAATTTCCCAACTAGTGCCGAAGAGGATCATCTGTGTATGGAAGCCGAACAAGGCTCCTCGTCCGAAACCAGGGTCACCGTTCTGGAACGCTACTCATCTGAAGGACAACTGGATCGACACCGACTTGCCGTCGACCAAATTCGACAGCAATCTGAAGCATCTGGCCGAGCAACAACCGGTGACGTCGAGGAAATACTTCTACAGGGTGGAGAACACGGTCACTCCGCAAGCGGATAACCCCATAGTGTGCGTTAAGCCCGTGACTAGACGGATCCATGGATATGCTAGGCTGTTCATCACTCAATGCTTCGCAAAGGGTTGTGCCGACCGGTTGCAGGTCTTCTCGACCGATTTCATCGACGACGATTTCGTCGACGCCTGCGTGGGCCTCACACAGGCGAGGGTTGAAGGGAAGTGTTGATGAAATTGGTGATGGTTTTTTGTTTTAATAATTTTGTGTGTGATATTTCTCTCTCGTAAACTACCACTTTCATGGGGATTTAGCTCAGTTAATTTGTTTTGTGATGTGTAGCATATGGTGTGTATAACATTGTTCACTGTCTATGTTTATCCTGCATTGATCGTTATAAAGTTCGACATTCAATCTTTATTGTTTGTATATTTATAATTTATATTATTTTTAGATGAATAAGAACTTTATTCAATGCAATAACACGATTTCAAGTCAAACGAAAAATATAAACTGTCGCAGGCTTCTTTTTACATTGCAACAAGTCCAACCGAGCTCACCCCTCCACTCCATAACCTTCCTCGACACATCACAAGCCAAAAGAATGCTTTCCCAAACCCTACCAGAATAACCACAATAAAAACCAGGTGGTCTCTGAACTCAATCTCATTTGAACATAAAACACAAATACCACCAATGTTCATGCCAAACGACGTCAGGCTTGTGGGCAGTCTGTCCAAAACTATCATCCAAGCGATAGCAAAGTTCATGGGAATATGGCTCGACTACCATATCAGTCTATCCAGGACACCCGCTCTCCACGCTCACGAACAGTCTCTCAGATGTCAGTAATCGACATTGAGGGGCCAACCAAGGCATCCTAATAACAGCTGCTTTATCTCTTAAATTCAGCAACGACTTTCAAACCCAACCACAATTAACCGAACTGCTCACTTGCTAAAAGGATCTACCTTTCAACGTATATAAGCCAATTCAAACTATCCATGTCGAGTCATCATTAAGAAGAAGCCGTCTGATCAAATAAATCAAACATGCTTGATTTCAATTCCGAATGTTCTTCAAGCCACCCCCTCAGCTTTGGGACAATAAATCTTCGCTCAGTTCACTCGCACTCCCTTCACAGGCCTATTCTCCTCTTTCCAAAGAAGCCTTATACAAAATTGATCAATTCTATCCAAGACCGCATCAGGCAGCAGCACCTGCCTGCTCCAAAACCCTTGAATGCTAAAGTTGGTTAATCTGTATTTTTTTCACTTAAAAAGATAACTTATTTTGTATATAAAATGAAGTTTCAGTGAGTAGAACATGCCGACAATATCGTATTGGCAGCCTATTTATGATATTTTAGTGGCCTGGGGTTAATATAGAAATTAGACCCATAATAACTAGTATTTTAAAAAAATTAATTAAAGAATAATTAAGTGAAATGTGAAAAAAAAAATTAAAAATGTCACTTTAGTATCGTTATTAATTTTTTAATGATGAGTAACAAAAAAATGTAACAATTCATATGATTTTGAAGAAAAATAATAATTAGATGGTCAAAACAGAAATAAAATAATGATTGAGTGACTAAATAAATAATTTATTTTTTAAATTATGTATAAATTTATAATTTTAATTTCTGAACGAGCGGGGATCCTGGGCTAGTGCCCTTTTACCCCTCAGGAACGGGCCTGCGATTTGGTAGATAAATATCCTTTTCCAATGATGTGATTTTGACATAGAAATTATGTGATAAAGACGAAGAATATATGTAGCATTGACAAAAGAGATAAGTGCTGACAAAGGGAAATGACAAAGAAGAGTTCTGGCTGATACCAAGTGAAAAATAATGGGCTTGCCACTTGCCAGTTTTTGAGAGAAGATTACAAAGAGGAGTCTGTGACATTCCATGTGAAATTTAAGTCGTCTTTATAAGAAACACTAGTTAAAGTTTTAAAACTTTCAATTTAATCACTGGACTTTGATATCATTCATGTTTTGGTCACTTTATTGCTGAATACGAAATGGTGCGATGACATGGATAAGAGAATGATTGGGGATGGACATGGATCGGGTTGGGTCGGGTCGGGTTTTCAGCCAACCTGATCTGAAAATTTTAGAACCTTTACATGAAATTCGACCCGGTTCAAGTTTAGAGTAATTTCAACCGACCTGACCCGAAACTCACTCGACTTTTGAGATAAAACATGACTTTGACCTGATCCACAATAATATAAAATTATTAATTTTTATTCAATAAAATAGTGACTTAATTGAAAAAATAATATAAAGATATGTATTATTGTAATTATCCCTAAATATATAAGGTGTGATTATATTATTTTTCTGATCGGGTTGAATATTTTTTTACTATAAACTAGAACTCGACCCAATCCAAATATATCCTCTAAAAACCCAATCCAACCCGTTTTGACCCGAACTCAATTTCTTTTTAAAAAAAAGCTCGTCTCAATCTGGTTGGATCGAAACCGATCGGGTTTTAGTCCCGTGTATATCCCTAAGCGTGATGACTCATTAATATGACGTTGTTTTAGATCCCTAAATAAATACCAAAACGACTGGAGAAAATTCGGTGAAATTTTTTCTTTAAACGTGTTCCTTGAATTTATCTCCAGGAGAGGTGAATGGAATCCTAAGTGAAATTGGTTTCCCAGTTGCAGTGGAACAAGGTTTCATTACTCATCATTTATGGGCTGGCTGATCGATGTGGGACTGGGACCAATGATCACTTAGGGTAAGCCTATCCACATGGAACAGTGGGATGACTCAGCAAGCGACAGCATCACCCTGTGGATAAGAAACTAAAACACAATCATATGCGACCAAAAGGTTAAATTGGTTCCACTTATAAATCCCCACCACATCCCTTCAACCCCGAAACCATCAGCTTGCTTTCCTCCGACGAAATCTCCGCCTTCGAAATGGCCTCATCCACATCACTCTACGAAGTTCTTGGGATCCCGATGAGTGCGAACGGGAACGAGATCAAGGCAGCGTATAGACGACTAGCGCGAACGTGTCATCCCGATGTCGTGTCCATGAACCAGAAAGAAATGTCAGCTACCCTATTCGTGAAGATCAATGTGGCGTATTCGACTTTATCAGACCCGAACAAACGTGCGGATTATGACCGGAAGCTTTACCGACGGAACGTCCAGTTTTATTCCTCCGCAACACCGGCGTCTGCGTCGGGGTTTTGTGGTTATAACAGTGGTAGGAATTGGGAGACCGACCAGTGCTGGTAGTTAATTTGTTGGTTTAATCATGTGTACTAATAATAGTCCATGCACAAGCTAAGCATAATTTCTAACTTGGATATGTACCTGTTCAACTGTTCCATCTTCCAGTTAAGGACATTTTTTTAATTAATTAGTCCAAATTATATAATTTCTTTTCTAAATTAGTCCAAATGATATCTTCTCTTCAATTTAAGGACCTATAAGTAGATATCATGAGGTCCAATCCTCTTCAACACAAATATTCATATTGTACAATTGTAACTCTTCGCATTTTCCTATAAATCCGTCATTGTTCATATAGATATGCGAAGAGTTATAATTGTACATTATTTAATATTGTCGATGATATTAAGAATATTTTGAATAGTTGATAGGTGAGAAAATTTGGTGAAAGTAACCATTTTACTACATAACAACTATGGTAAAGTACACAAATAGTCCATGGACTATGATGTTGTTTTGTTAAATGCTCTAACTATTACAAATTACAAAATGATATATTGATTATAGGGAGTTGTTTTGTTGAGTCCCTTAACCATTAAAAGGGTCACCTAGCTAACTATTCATATATTATAAATTCGTCATTTTCTCTTAAAAAATTGACGGCAATCTAAGTTAGACGTTAACCTTCTGACTAAGATATGATAAAATCTGATCCCAAAATTTAAAACGACTATCATATCTCAGTCAGAATATTAATGTCTAGTTCAGATGATCATCAATTTTAACGAAAAAGGACAAGTTTGTAACATATGGATAGTAAGATGACTATTTTGTAGCTTTTAATAGTTGGGGGACTCAATAAAGTAACGTCCTATAGTCAGCTAATCATTTTATAACTTTTAATAGTTGAGAGACTTAACAAAATAGTATCATATAATCAAGGGACCATTTGTGTACTTTACCCAACCAACTAATATGGCAAGAAAATACACTCATAATGATCCAAACGTTGGTAGATTTTCTCTTTTCAAAAAGCAAAGGGCTTGATTCGTCATTATATCTATACCTACTTTTTTTATGAATCCTCTTTTTATGTGTTAGAATATAATATTGGTTAAATTGCATATTTAATATCTAAATTATCAGTTTTAGTTTGTTTTAGTATTTTATTTTTTTTTATTTTTTAAAATTTTACCTAAAAGTTAGTTTTTATTTCATTTTAATACCTTTCATTTAAAAAATAATGTGTTTAGTACTATACTATTAGTTTTGGTCCGTTTTAGTACCTAAGTTTCTACTTTTTAAAAAAAAATTAATGTTAAATTTTGAATGGGGTACTAAAATGAAATAAAAACTAAACTTTAGGTATGATTTTGAAAAATAAAAATATAGATTCTAAAATAGATTAAAACTGACAATTTAAGTACTAAATACATAATTTATCTTATAATATTTCGTTCATACCTAAAGAACTATAATTAAGTGACTAAATCATCATTGTATTTGATCTTCCTATATTACATCTTGTCTTCCGCTTATATAGTATTTAAAAGATTTTACACCAATTTCATACCTAATTATCACATCACAATGACATTTGAACTACCATTTAATGTTTAATGGCCCATAAATAATGATAACTAGGATACTTTTTCAATTTTACAATAGAATAAAAATAACAAAAAGAATCATCATTAGGATGGATCGAGGGGCGGGTGGGGACAGTTGTTTTTTTTTAATTTAAAATTTTTATATATTTTAAAATTTTCTATGTATTTTCCATTGAAAATATGTTTCCTCACCCTTTAAAATTTTAGTTCGCTCCCTTAAGTTTAAGTTTACTCTATTAACATAAAATATTGATTCTATCTCTGAATTCAGCATTATAGTTTTATTTCTCTCTATTCCCTCTTCCATGCTTTTGCAATTCTTTCACGGGATTTTCAAGGTCAAAATAAAGGTAAATTATACATTTAGTAGCTAAATGATCACTTTTGATCTATTTTATTACTAACTTTCAATATTTTAAAACATTACTTAAAATTTAGTTTTTATTTTATTTTAGTAACCACCATTTAAAAACTTTAGTTTTTTGTTTCATTTTTTTTTTGTTTCACTTTTGATTCATTTCTTTTATTCAAGTTTATAAATATAAAACAGTGCCGTAGCATAGATGGTAGGAGCAGTGAGCAGTGGTAGATTCAAAACTATTTTTAAGAGTGAACACATATATGCCAACAACATAAAATTTTTAAATGGAGTTGGTACAAATAAAATTTCAACATGAACATCGTTAGTAAAATAAGTAATTAATCGAAGAAAAATTAGATTTCAAAGTGTGTACAAAAAATTTTAGAATGAACATCATCTATAAAATAAATAATTAATCGAAGACCATCTATAAAATAAATAATTAATCGAAGAAAATTTAAATTTTGATATGAGCACGCTCCATGACATCACCACGGTTACAACTTAACAATTTGGTGTCGATGAAAGAATTGTTATTACTTGAGGATTGTCTTGTAATTGTCCACATTAATAATAATTTTATATCTGAACAACTCTAAGACTGACCTCAAAAAAAAAAATCTCAACGATACTAGTATAAACGTAGGCCCAAGCCCACCGATAAGCAAAAACCCAGAAGGATTTAGTCAATTTTCCCCTAAAACATCAGCACTTGGGTCGTTGTAGGTAGTCTCTAATGTCGAAGACAGAATACGTGAGCCCCGAAGGTCTCCGATTGGACGGTCGCCGTCCCATGGAAGTAATCTTTCCTCTTCCTCTCTTCATTTTTCTTCTGATTCATTACCCTTTTTTTCATTGGTTTTCTCCTTCTCAGATGAGACAACTTCGTGCAGAGATCGGTACCGTCGCCAAAGCTAATGGGTAAGCACCGAAATCATTACTTGTTTTTACTTATCTCCATAATTCCCAGCCTTTTTCTCTTTGTTTTTCTTATTTTAATATTCACAGCTCTGCTGTTTTTGAGATGGGCAACACCAAAGTCATTGCAGCAGTGTATGGCCCTCGAGAGGTAACCTTTTGATTTCATGGCTTCCATGGAAATCTTCACATTGAGATTTCTTTTCTTTTTCTGAATTTGATTATCTGTTTTCCAGGTGCAAAATAGGAGCCAACAACTTAATGACCATGCACTGGTAATGTTCTTATACGTCTGTATGTCCGATTGTTGTAGTTGTGACTTCGAATTTGATTATATGTGATGGGTATCAGGTGCGCTGTGAATACAGTATGGCTAATTTTAGTACCGGAGATCGAATGAGGAAACCGAAGGGTGACAGGTGAACTATTTTTCTATTTTCTAGTTTTTATAATGATGTTAAAGTTAGACTACAATGTGTTCAATCCGATAGGAGGAATGATTTATTTGTGGAACATTGGATCGAGACAAGTGAATTATGCCCGTTTTCATGTTTTTAAAGGCGTTCTAGTAGTGTCAACGGTGATGTCTTTCACACGGAGATGTTAGAATTACAGAGTATTTATGCATGATAAGTTGATTGATACTAGGTTTGTGAAGAATAAGTTATATAACTCGTTGACATGGATCTTTCTTTCTATGTTTAGGCGTTCGACAGAGATATCTCTTGTCATCCGCCAGACCATGGAGGCATGCATTTTGACTCATCTAATGCCTCGTTCTCAGGTTCGAGTTATACCCTAATTATATACCACAGCTAGCATTTATTTTCTGTTCTTCTGAGTTGTTCTTGATTACTCGCATTTTTTTACCAGATAGATATATTTGTTCAAGTTCTTCAAGCCGATGGAGGTAAAATGAAGCGCATCCAAACTTCTTGTTGATCATTGGCTTAGTTTACATTTTCATATTATGCAACTGCAACTTTGTTCTCCACCCCAACCAACAACTTGTGTTTTAATGGCACCATTGCACAGTTCGACCACGTAGTTCTGTGCTTTTCCTTTATTTCTTTATTCTATTACCTGGTTCTCTCTGCATAAAAGAAAAAAGAAGCATAAGAAAAATAAATGTATCTTCAGGAACTAGATCGGCATGTATCAATGCTGCAACTTTAGCCCTCGCTGATGCTGGGATCCCAATGCGTGATATCGTCACTTCTTGCAGTGCTGGGTATCTAAATAGCACTCCTCTGCTAGGTCAATCGAATTCTTCTTCTTCTTCCTCCACTTCCTTTTTTCTTCTTTTATTCTATTTGGATAATTGAATTAATATTTGTTGAATATGCAGATTTGAACTACATTGAAGACAGTGCTGGAGGCCCCGATGTCACCGTGGGGATCTTGCCTAAGTTGGACAAAGTGACTCTACTTCAGGTTTTTGCTTGCTATGACTCCGTTCTCTTGTTCACTTTTTTTATTCGGGTTTGGTTTACATGAGACTATCGACTAAGCCAAAATACAGATGGATGCTAAGTTACCGGTGGATATCTTCGAAAACGTCATGGGACTTGCGGTCGAAGGCTGCAAGGCTGTAGCTAACTACATTAGAGAAGTAAGGGCATTCCTTTTTATCTGTCAAGTCCTCCATTTCTTTTGAAATTTTCTTGTCCATGAATTGTATGGCAACCGTGCCTAGCAACTTGAGATTAACGTCGATTGCTTTGCTCGGCAGGTATTACTAGAGAATACCAAGCAACTGGAGTATCGACGAGGTCTATAAATCTATATTAGCAGTGTAAGAAAAATATGTAACCGAAAGATGGGTGGTTTAGTGTCTGTTGTGTTTCAAGGCTTCTTGTATTGACATTGAGATTAAACGTAGTTTTTAGAACTCTTTTAAACTTTTAAGACGTTCTTATTTTTTTTAAAAAAATTAAGACATTGTTGCTTCAAAGACATTGACCCCTTTTCATTTAGTTATCTATTTGGCAGCCCATGTGATGGAGTGGTTCTGTCTTGTATAAAAAAAACAAATTGATGTGGCTGCTGGGATTCGAGCCCAGTTCACATCGTAGAATTGTCACCAGTATACTACAACAGCAAGTTAGCCATACAGTTGAGTTAGCTGCAGACATACTTCGCAAGGGTGTTCAAAATTGGATACCTAATTCTCC